GACGACGACTTGCTGAAGCTAGCTTGAAACCACTAAGACCTGCAATCGTCCCTAAACTGGAGCGTGCGCATTTTATTTCAAGACTAAGATATGCCCAGAACCACCTAAAGTACAAGAAAATTGCATCCTGTAAATGGCGCTTAGTAAAAGTTTCACTTAATAACATTTCTTCTTCCTGCAAATTTGAATATGATTCGAATCCTAACTGAGTTAAGAGCACTACAAGAGTGAAGCCACAAATCATACTTTAACACCCTTCATTTATGTATATGAACTTTACAGACCGTATCCAGAGGTGTATTTAAGATGAAACAGCAGTAAATACAGCAGGGGCGTATTTTAAAATCGGCTCCCCCACTTCAGATTTGCACCCCTCTCCCCCCAGCTGGCTTCTGGCGCCCGTTTTTAGGTAGGGTAAGTCGGCTACTGACATACTTGCTGCAGGGGCAATCTAGGGCGCACAGTGGTTGGTGCACTGAATAGCAAGTGCTTGCTATTCAGTGTTCGAATATTTATTGAGCTAAACACACGCGTTGATAAAATGGTCCCAGTATTATCAAAAAATCAAAAGATCGGTAGGTAGGACCTTGGCTCTTTCTATGGTGTTAGCGCAAAAAAGGAAATACTGGGTGATAAATTTGCAACAGAAAGAAATGTATTGTAAATAAATAATGTTTGCGCTTTTTTATCCCAATGTGGGGCCGGTCTTTATTACTTCTATCACTTGCGTCTAAACTTCATGCACATTGCTAAACACGCGGCAACGTGAAGAGCGGCAGGGGCAATCTAGAGACCAAGGATGGTAACGCGCCCCTGCCACCCTGCCGGCCCATCTAGAAATTGCCCCTGTTTGCCTACACACATTACAATTAAGGAGACAATTATGGGTCATCCCCACTCTTACACCCTAGATTGCCCCTGCAGCAAGGATGTGAGTAGCCCGCTTTATGTTATTTTCAGGAAAGGTATTGTCCCTTGTTCCAGACTTTATCAAATGCTTGTTGGATATCAAGAAACACAGCAGAACAATACTGTTTTCGCTCTAAAGATTGCCTTATTGCATTTACCTCCTAATGTACTTGTTCTACCGTTGAATGATGTGATTTGAATCCATATAAGTATAGATCAGGGACTATACTTTAAGAATTAAGAACTGGCTTGACTCTAGTCAATAAAATCTTTGGAGATGGTGGCTTGCCGGGTTTTGCCATCATACATATGACTGATATCTTCCAGAGTTTAGGGTAGTAACAGAGTCTGTTTATCGCATTGAAGAGCATAGTATGGAAAACCAATACTTTTCATGATAAGCGTTTCAGTATTTCCCCTGTAATAAGGTCGAACCCAGGAGCTCACCTATTCGGTAGACTTCTTATTGTACTAGCTATTTCTTTTGGTGTTATTAACTTTAAGGGTGGGGACAAATGTTAGTCACAGTTTATTACTCTTTCAATCTTACTCTCGAATCCTTTGTCAAGTGCCTCGTTTGGGATGAATACATTCAATTCAATTTCAAATTTTTGTGCAAATCATTGGCTTTTTTCACTAGTTGCCTTACCCCAGTCGCCAGATGGTTTTCTTAATGGAGAAACTTATAGTTGAGGCCTTTTTATTCCCTTTGTGATTTTCCAGACAGTAATTTTCCTTTTTATTTGCTGACAATGTGGACAATCTTTGTTGGAGTGAATAGTTTTTATTTTCATTCAACATTTATTTAAGTTCCTTTGCTGCTTTATTCCATTCTGTTCTCAGTTCAAATTAGTGATGATAAAAGTAGCTTCGTCTATATCTTCTTCCGATTTAAGGCTTACCTTTAGATTAATCCTCGATTCCAGGAATTCTGAGAATGCTAGCCAGTCCGTGTTGTTATTGTACAAGTTGATTTGTTGTACCTGGTGTATTATCGGTTGTATGATCAGTTGAGGTGTCAAGGCATGAAACGACAGTGATATATTAAAGAGATGTCTTTGCAAATGAAAAAATCTAATAGATCTCGGATTTTATTTTGATCTGGAGGCCAATAGGTTGGTTTACCGGTTGAAAGTGTTTCTAGTTTTAGGTTGGTGCCACATTTCATCAATTCACGGCCTCAAGTGGTAATCAGCCTTGATCCCCAAAGAGTGTGTTTACTATTCCAATCCCTACCAATGATATAGTTGTTATCTAAAAGGCAAAAGAAATTTTTAAACTTTTCTTCTGTAATTTTTTGGGAGGGCAGGCAGTATATAGCACTTACATTAAAATTTCCATTAGGATCTTCTATTGTAACCGTTGCTTGTAGCTTGTTAGTAATTTTATTTATGTTTGCTGTATATATAATATTTTATATTACTCTTAATGATAACTGTTGTTCTTCCATGACATGTGCCATCAGGATGGTTTGTTGTATAACCTTTATAATTGGTGAGTTTGAAGATTTTTTGACTTGTGTTTCCAACATCAAAATAATGTCAATTTTATTCACTTTAAATATTAACTCAAGATTTTCTTTATTTGGCAGTAGGCCATTGATATTCCAGGTTGCAATCCGTAAATTATGGAATTTTATTGATAAGCACTGTGAGCAGATTCATCAATGTTCCCATGTGTTGTAACAGTTGATCTATTTTTTCAGTCTGTTTCTCTATGAGAAGTTCTAACAGGTTTGTGTTCCTGGAAGGAGGGATTTCTCTAATCAGCACTAATTGTGCTGCTGTGGGTGCGCTGTGACTTTAGATTGTCAACAGTTTTGGGATAAGTAATGTGGGTGTTTCCAGATATGCTACATTGATTTTGTATAGCGTCATTGGTAACATCCTTGTCATAGAGTTTTGGGTTGCTATTTTATCAGGATTTTCTCAGGACAATAATTTTTCAGTTGGTGTATGTCTTGTATTTTTTGTGATATCTTTTGGGTTACTTTATGCGTTTTTCGAGCTAATATTTCTTTGTATACTACACATCCCTTATAGCTAGCAAGGTTACTTCCTGAACATAGTGAGCATACAACAGACATATTTTTGTCTTGTTCACATGATATTGTTTTTTGAGGACCAGCACTTTATACACCTGAATGACCTCACAGTACAGTTATTTTAGTGTGACCATACTGTTGACATCTAGTGCAATGGGGGATAGATGTCTACCTTTTAGGATCCTGTATGAGAACTGGTGGTATATATATTTAATGTTTTTTATGTATTTGTTTTTCTCATGTGGGATTACATTTAAAAAGAACATGTTTAGTGGCTCCTTTGTGCCTCTTTTGCATTCTTTGATTATTTCATCTTTTACTTTGTTCACAGTTTCCTCTATAGCATCTACAATAGCTTGTATTGGTGTACAATGGTGAAGTATTTAAAAAAAAACCATGGACACCTCTGATCTTTTTGCATAAATGTGTGCCGATCAAGTCCTTTCTTCTAATATGATCTATAATTATTTTGTATTTTCTACAAATTTTGTAGACAAAAACTGTTTCTATTTACTACTTTGAGAGTGTAGTCATCTTCATTTACTACTTCTAGCTATAGATTTGTTAGCTAGCATATAAATTATAGGGGTGAATTCGATTCTTTTCTAGATTTTGTTGTTGTGTCAGTATTTTCCTCTTCAGTATCAACATTTAGTATTAAGAATCTGTTTGAAGTTTCAACTGCTGTTGTTCTGCTGTCTATTTATCATAGTGTCCATTAATACCTCCGAGATTATTGACTACTTTTTGTCTCAATTCATTACTTTTGTGTATTTTTGTTTGTGTTTCTATTGTATCTAGTTATCTTAGTCGTTTTGGCATTTGGATTTGTTTTTAATATTGGTTTTATCTTGCATACTAAGTTGGGGTATATCTCCAGTAGAATTGCTTTATTCGCTTAGCACAAATATGGTTTGAATTTTGCTTATAGTATTGCTGTTGATTTCCTGTCCTTTTTTTCTCAGATGTTTCTTTCAAGTCATTAGTTTCAATTGCTGTCACCTTTCCAATATCTTCATTTACCATAGAGAGTGTTTTTTTCCATACACAGACCATAGCAATTTCTACAACTGAAGCTGAAATAGTTGCAGCAAGTGAAGCAGCTAGAGAACTTGTGTGGTAGAAGAGACTTCTCATAACTGATGTGTTCCAATGCCCACACCAGCTCTCAGCGTCAATAATTAAGCTGCTGTAAAACTAGCTCAACACCCTGAATTCCACAAACAAACAAAACACATCAGCAGCCGTCACTTCTTTGAGCGTGAGGTTGTCTTAAGCAAAGAAGTGCATGTAGAAAGGGTTTCCACCCATGAGCACAAACAGCGGATATTCTGACAAAGGCTCTACCCAAGCCCCAGGAAGAGTTATATTTGATAATGGGCTTACAGGGCTAACATTTGGAGGGAGTGTGACAGGCTGGCTAAGAAGTTAGTCCTGCCTGATTTAAATTGTCATGTTTCTATAAAAAAAAATGTGTGTCAAATATGACAGTCTACTGAAAAAAATTGTGATAATATGTGTGGACTTTCTAAATGTGTTAAATAAAATAAACAAAACTAATCTTTAATATTTTTTTAGAACAAATATGTAATTATTTAGTTGCTCATGAAATTACTATCAACTCAGATTACAGAACAAAAGGCAGATGGAGCGCACGGTACACATAATGCGTGTCACCACAGCAAATACAAAGTTTCAAAGTAAATGCTGTTTTTGTCTTTGTGAACAGTTTTTACAATGTATAAACAAGGCAGCACAGTTTGCATAAAAACTTAATAATCATGTGACGTATACACAACACGATGATAGTCACTTTTGACTTCATACTTGCTATGGTGCCACGCATGTTCCGTGTGCTCTATCTACCTTTTGTCTGTAATCTCAGACTATCAAAGTAAGTTACCTATTCTTGTTGTTATTTACTTACTTTCTGTTTTAAATATACATCATAATATTATTCAAACATTGAGTGTGTTTAACTCATGGAGATCAAATGCAGTGCAGGCGAAAATAGATACGGTTTACTAAACAAATAAGCAAAGCTCACCAGCGAACGAAGCCGAGCGCAATTTGAATTCAACTCCGTAATAAATCGTGAAGCACTTTGAATTCTCCAGCCTCTTTGTTTCTTCTGGCCATCGCTCGAAATCTTTAGAAGACTTTCCGATTCTGACTTCCTTCATATCCCTGATGTCTAAGGCGCCTTCGTAGGCTTGACGCTGCGGTGCTCCCGTTCGCAACCACAAGACTTGATGAGTCTCCCGTCGTACCAGCAGAGTGCGCCTCTCTGGACGCTTACGAGGGTAAAACTTGAACACTGTAGAACCCCTTTCTATGTATGAAATCAGTTGATCTGCCTCGTGTATCAGCCTATCGTTAGCCCCATTGTAGCACACCGTGTTCATTGCACTTCCGTTCATGTCGCTCGTTGTGACCGAACTGCAGCTGCTGTGGTGTAGACTACATGGAACAATCGACACGTAGTAAATGCATCCAGCTTTAAATAATACTTAGGTAAATAAAATAAATACGGGAACGATTATTATTTATTCGCACATCACCCACTGGCAATGTTTGTTTGACATTTCCAAACATCCAAACCAAATGAATGATTGAAAAGACAAGAGCGGAGGTCAGTGCTGCCAACTCCAAAAAATATTTCATGCTAAATCGAAGTAAAAAAATGCCAAAAATTTGCTATTTTTTAAAAAAGATGTTAAAATATAATGCTAACCACTAATGTCCATAACCGATATTTTTTATAAAACAATGTAACTGTAATGTATGTGATAAAATATAATATATTGGTGTCAATTAGTAACAACACAATAATTAAAATAGATATATTAATGTTAATTAGTAATACAACCATTCATTAAATTCTGTCATTAATTCCCACTACGAACGTTTATGCTGAGTATATTTCGCAGTCATTGGTGTCAATTCTGACACGATTCCCTAAACCTAAACTTAAATTTGACAACAGTGCATCCTTGCCATTCTCTATACGGAATGAAAAGGAGAGATTGATGTTAAATTAAGTTTAAGTTAAGAGAATCACCCCAGAATCGACACCATTGTTAAAATAATATTATAAACAGTACAATATAAAATTACCACTACTACACGTGTAAAAGCATTGTTTGTTTGTCAGCCAGCCAACTAACTATAACATGATAATCATTGATTATCATGTTAGTTAGATAGATGATAATCAATGATTATCATGTTAGTTAATTGGCTTATTCATAAAATAACAATTCATTCAATCATTTATTTGTTTTTCAATTCGGGGATTCCCGTCGCCAGACCCGTCTTTCCCAGGGGGCACTTTGGGCAGGGCCTCGCGATCGATAGGGGCCCCCCTTAGATCATATACAAAATCCCTAGTTCCTGTTAAATCACCGAACGGGTTCATAGGGGCCCCATTATCCTAATATTTTTATTTTATTATTTTATTATTTTTTTTTTCGGAAAACGTACAGTGTTTTTTTAACAGCAATTATAACTAAATGTTATGCATCCAATAGGTCAAAGATAGCACTGCCCGTCGCATAGTAAACACAACGTAACGAACGACGATTAGACTAGTTAAAATAGTTTTTTAACGACTTTGAAGTATCAACAAGTGTGACATTTTATTATCACTAGATGGCTGAACAAAAGCTGATAAAACAGTGCGCCGATTCCGTGAACAGCCGATCATTGGGGAGCGATCACGGTAAAAATTGCAACGTAATTTAATAACGTAGCATTTCATTTCTAATAAGTAAACAAGACAATATGCTTCATGCTAAAATGTTTTTTTTTATGCTAAATCACTTAAAAATATGCTAAATTTAGCCATAAATATACTAAGTTGGCAGCACTGTCGGAGGTGGAATAGGGACAGTGGTCTCGAAGGGTACGGCCACAGTGCACGCTGGTTCAGAATCAGATTCAGATTCAGAAAACAGGCTCGTGAGGTGTCAGCTTGAGGAAAGCAGGTGATGGCCGCAGTGGAGGCAGATAATACAAGACGCGGACGCGAGCATTGATGCCAGATTGGGAGGATGCCCCCAAATTTGGGGAGTTTTTAAAGCGAGGGGGGGGGGTAATATTTTTTGGGGATTAATAGGGGGAAGAAATTTCAGACATCTGTTTTATAATAATTGATTATTTTAATGTATATAAATATAAGATTGAGTTTATTACAGCAATAAAGGAAGTTCTTACAGTTGAAAAGTTATTTTTTTGGATTATAATGGATATTTTATAAAAAATTATTACAAAACCAATTGTAACAATTTAAAGATATTAATATTTTTTTAAAACGAGAATCATTTCATGGAATGATTTGGTATCTAAAAAAGATCTGTAGGTATGTGTTGCCTGTTGTTAAATTTATTTTACATTTTATGATATACTTTCTGTAACATTAATTACGACGCAATACGCTTTTCAGAATATAAAAAAATAAATTATATTAAAAATGAGATTACAATAAAAAAGTATTTCTTTACCTTCAACACTCATTTCTCCACCGATTTTTTGCCAGCACTTATCAACGAAATTCTTATTGTTTTTGTCTCTTTTATACCATTAAGAAAAATTTTCGCAATAAGTGCTTCGATATTCATTATGCTAACTCTAAAATATAAATCAAGAAACAAGAGTAGATCGCAAACAAGAAGCAAGACACTAAATGTTTGTTTATAACACAACCAAGAAAAAGATTACATATACAACTATAACCTGCAGTTAAGGATACCAACTTCAGCAATTTAGGTAAGCAATTTTCGAAGCGTTTCTTCTAAAAATATAGTAACTGACAAAAAATTAAAAAAATATAGTATGTGGTTAAAATATTTACTTTATTTTGAGATAAATATATATTTATTTCAAAATTATTTTGCTGCTCTTTGAATTACTAATATTATAATAACAATTTCTTATAATTTTTAAGAAAGCTTTTACTGTCAAAAATATGCTTTAAGAATGATATAGTAGTTTCGCCTACTATATTTTTAGAAATATAGTATCTGATCCCCTAGTATAAGTAGTAGGATACTATATTTTATAGTAGGGTTGGCAACCCTACCTACACTCCGAGCGGTGCTGGTGAATTTAGAATCTGAAACAAGAATGACCTAAACATTCCGGTACAGTGCCTGAATCCGAAACCTGCGCGGGCAACCAGCTGCTTGCTGCCATTATATGGCCACCCTGCTTAAACTGCATTGTTTATTTCTCGTGCTTGTTTTCTGAGTCTGAACCTGATTCTGAACCTGCGTGCACTATGGCCGTACCCGAACGTCATAGAGCGAGATCGGTAGAATTGCCAGCTAAAAACTTATTGTAAAAGGTACATTTGTAACCAAAATCGGTATTTGACAAAAAAATACAATATTCAATCAATATCGTTTATTTAATAAAAATAACAATTTATAACAATCATACATAAGTATAATTATTTATTATATCAATATTTTTTGACCATAGCCGCGGTCATCTTCGAATTAATTTCAAAATTATAACAATTAGCTGTAATAAAGTCGTTTTGAATGTAATAGACCAGTGATTGATTCAGTAGACAGCCTATTTCGCTGTTTTGTTTTCAAAAGATTAATATGTGAAAATATGTGTTCAACGTTAGCGGATGAATGGGGAAGTGATAAAATATTAAAGATGAAATTAGACAATAAAGGAAACATTTGAATTTCATCGCTACGCTTTAGTAAACTTACTTCATCCCAAAATAGTTCTACATCATTAGGAAATGATTTGATTTGTTCACAATTTCTTAAAATGCACCACTCTGTATCAATTTCCTGGAAATCATTGCTGTGAACAATATTGGGAAGAGCCTACTCACAGGAACTATCGAAGCAGTTTTGCCAATTTTAACATTTTTTTGATCAATTATGTCTAAACCTTTTATTGGGTAAGTTTCAATGGAAACCGCGTGGCTATTTGCTTACTAGCTTCGATATAAAAATCTAGGCATCTGCATTTATACAAAACTTGATCTGAGTTTAGATTTTCTGAACTACTTAGTAGTATATTAGACACTGCAGCACCATAGTACAGTTTGTTTATAAAATCGTGACATGAATGTTTTTGAGGAACTAACATTATTCATGTGTCTGGCAACACCAAACTTATGTACATCAGCTGTCATCGAGTTTCAGTTGTGGAACAGTTTTCCTTTTGTATATTATGCACTTGGCCGGTTTTAAATTATGCATTTTCGGGTGTTCTGATTGCATTTCTTTATTTAAACCGGTAAATAATAATAATACGAAATCTAAAAATTCCATAAATAATATCGTTGTGGGATCTTGGAGCTTCTGTAAAATATATTCTGCAGCTAAAAGATTTGATCTAAAAAAAATAGTTTTAGAGCAGAGAATTGTTCCAATATTCTCTTCACATATGTAGGGGAGAAGGAGGCACCTTAGCATAGGGGCAGATTTGAACATGTTGATTTCTGATCGTAACTTTATATTATAGTACAGTCAATCTGTCGAAAAAAATATCGTTTGAGTGAAAAAAAAACCTAAAGGGTAAGTCTTGTTTTTTCTGTTGCCAAATGACGTCAGTAAGCCACCTTGGCGATGGGCATGTTCAACTCGTAGGCGTTTTTTGAAAAACTCAAAAAAACCGTCAAAATTTTTTTGAAACGCATTTTTCTTGTTTTGTATGCATTTTAGAAACTTTTTTTGACCATAATTGTAGAGGGCGTTGAGTGCTACAATTTATGTCATTGTTGCAATCTCGTACAACAAAAAATGCGCATTGTAGGTGGCGCTAAAGTCTCAAAAAAGTGTTTTTTCACTTTTTCACCCTGAAAATATCATTTTAATGGAAAACTTTAAATGGCAAAGTTGTTTCGTACATAATTACCAACAACTTTTGTATAAACAATTTTTTTGTATTACTTACCGTTTTCAAGTTATAAATTGCGCAGGTATGAAAAATCCAATAGAGCGGTTTTGGGCAGTTCAAGTACACATTTGCAGTGCACATTTCAATGTACGTTTTTACTATTTTTTTTTTTCAATCATGAAAAAAAATAAAAATAAAACTATTTTTGTTTTTCATTTTTTTTTGTTTATCAATCATGAAAAAAAAATAAAAATAAGTAAAACGTACATTGAAATGTGCACTGCAAATGTGTACGTGAACTGCCCAAAACCGCTCTATTGGATTTTTCATACCTGCGCAATTTATAACTTGAAAACGGTAAGTAATACAAAAAAATTGTTTATACAAAAGTTGTTGGTAATTATGTACGAAACAACTTTGCCATTTAAAGTTTTCCATTAAAATGATATTTTCAGGGTGAAAAAGTGAAAAAACACTTTTTTGAGACTTTAGCGCCACCTACAATGCGCATTTTTTGTTGTACGAGATTGCAACAATGACATAAATTGTAGCACTCAACGCCCTCTACAATTATGGTCAAAAAAAAAGTTTCTAAAATGCATACAAAACAAGAAAAATGCGTTACAAAACATTTTTGACGGTTTTTTTGAGTTTTTCAAAAAACGCCTACGAGTTGAACATGCCCATCGCCAAGGTGGCTTACTGACGTCATTTGGCAACAGAAAAAACAAGACTTACCCTTTAGGTTTTTTTTTCACCACTCAACCTACAGATTGACTGTACTATTAATTTATGCCGTAACTACATTTTAATATTGGCAGCACTGGCTGTGGCAAACGTCAAGTAAAAAGCGCGCGCGTTTCGTTTTCAAAAATATTTTTAAGCGTTTGTTCTCAAAGAGTCACACTGTAACCTGTAACACTGTGACTCATTGGGAGAACTTTGTAAAATAATTCCCAACTAGTCACACTGTAACACGTTGCGAGATCTTTCTTAAATAATTCCCAACCAGTCACACCACACTGTGACAGGTTGCGAGACCTTTCTGAAACCATTCCCTACAGTTACACTCTGACTCGTTAGGCCAACCTGTTAGGTATACTGTTACATTATTGTTTTAAACTTTCATGGTCACTAACATTATAGTAATATAAGTTATTTACGGGATTATTACCATGTACCTTGTTTTTAGCGAGTTTCCGATATTTCGGCGCTGTTGCAAGCACCATGATCAGGGCGCTTGTTTTTAAAGAGGGTACATGGTAACAATCCCGGAAACAACTTATATTACTATACTGTTACATGTTCATTCTATTTTGGACTCGTATTTATATAGGTGAAACCTTTTATCCAATCTTTGACTCAAAGATTTTATCCTATTCTTTTAAAATTTAACATTCCTGTTAATCTTGATAGCCTATAAATCCAAACTCTGACCTTTTGATTACCTACCTGTTAAAATATTAGGTCCTTATATATGACTTTTGAATTCCAGGCGTTTTGTACGGGAGGAAAATAAAGTCAATTTCTTTTTGGAAAATATTTTAATTAATCAAAGTATGCACCGTTGTTATCTATGCACTTTTGCTATCATAGGTAGTTCATTGATCAGAATCAACAAACTCTTTTAAGGCGGTATGGACTGCCGCATCGGAGTTGAATTCCGGAAAAAATGGTAATCTGTTGGAGCAAGGTCCGGGGAGTACGGTGAATGTCGCAGACATTCCAATTGTAGCTCATCTAACTTAGTGGTTGTTTGTTATGCAGTGTGTGCGTTGTCGTGAAGCAGCAGTGGCCTAGAGCGATTGACCAATCTTGGTTGTTTAGCAGCTAGTTCTGCCTTCATGGCTTGCAGTTGTTGACAAAAGATATCTGCTGTAATCGTTTGGCCAGATTTTAGAAAGCTGTTGTGAACGATACCGACACTAGTCCACCAAGCACTCACAAGTAACTTTTTCTGAGTCAATTTTCGTTTATGGCAGGCAGACAGAACAAAGTAACAAAGCAGTCGACGCGTGTTTTCAAGTTCTATTCACTCAATTTATGAGGTTCCGTTCAAGAATCCTTTCAAGTTTTTTTACTTTCCCGATTTGCTTCAAGTGGATTAATACAGTTTTGTCACTTACCCCGAAGCCTGCAGCTATCTCTGAAGTGCTTTGTGATGAATCCGCTTCCACAATAGCCTTTAATTCTTTCGTGCTTTCTTTTGCGACACCAGGGCCGTACACATCATTAATCCTTTGAGTTGTTTCTGCAGAATTGGTCCGACGGTATAACTAGTACTTGTAAATATACCGATATTTCATTTTTTCCATAGGGGGCGGTAATAAGCGAGGCGCGCCAAAGAAAAAAAAAATGAGGAAAAAACCAAATGAATCACTGTTTTCGGAACTCAAATGTACCAAAATTTTATTTTAAAAATTGAATTTGGAGTTCTTATCCAAAGAGGAGATATTTCAGATCAAAATGGTCAGTACGACAAAACGTTAATTTCATATCTAAGAACCTAATATTTCAACAACCTTGAATTAAGCACCAAATACAAATTTATCGTAAGCTGATGATAGTAAGCAATAATAGGAAAAATATTGCCTTCCTTTTATTACAGCAAAAAGTAGCAGTGTAGCTGATTATTAAGTGAAATTAGAGCTAAGACGTAACATACACCTCAGACATACATACAGACGTAACATAACCAACACCTAAGAGTAGATTTGTTTAGACAAATCGCTAACGATTCACAGTGTGACTGGTTGGGAATTATTTTAAGAAAGGTCTCCCAACATGTCACATGTGTGACTGGTTGGGAATTATTTTACCAAGGTGTCCCAACGAGTCACAGTGTAACAGTGTGACTCGTTGGGAACAAAGGTTTTTAAGCTGTCGTCGTATTTGTACCGATGAAGTAAAATATTAAAATAAATGTTGTAAGGGATTTACTATCACGTGAGTAAAGGTTTCCAACTAATTCTTTCACAAAATTGTGCAGTACTTATTAGTTTTCAACCCACCTTGTTGTTTTTGCTTGCCAGTTATTTCACATAGCTTTTTTGTAATATTTTATTTTCCAAGTGACCGTGGGGCAGATTTGAACAAAGCAAACGGGGCAGATTTGAACGGAACGTTGAAATATAAACTTCATATAGAAAACATATGTTCACAAGTTTGATATTAAGTTTATTTTATGTTTAATTTTGCGTTTGAGGCAGTATTATACAATAATAATAACAGGGTTATTCAACGTAACAAGCGGTTGGACGACTCCGTACTTGAGCGGCTTCGTCTGGAGGCGCTACCTGAGCGCACTGTTCCCGTCGTGACATGTGGTCAGTCTTCTACACCTCGGGTTTTATCAACATCTGTTGTAACACCGGAGGTGACGCGGATTGACCCTGTTATCAATGACGGAGACAGTGCGAACATTAGTGTAAGTACCCAGACCCAGGAGCATTTGAGGAGGGCTTTGGAAGAGGCGATTGACCGGTATCGGTATACACCGGACTCTAGGCCACGTTTACCACGCCTGCCTACGAATAAACGCAATATAGCGCTAATGATAGCCCTGGACAATTTACTAGTCTCATGTTTCGAGACTAGTGAAAACCTTGTTGATACGCATTCAATCCTGTACTGTGGGGCCATCGCGGCGTGCCGTGTTGCCCGAGTTAGGTTCCCAGATCCTGACCGTGCAACTAGACCCGCTGCTGATGTCCCTACATGGCAAGTGCGGATTGAACAGCGTATCAGCAGGTGCAGGACTATCATTGCAAAGCTATTCTGTTTCAGGAACGGGAATAATCGCCCGCGAGTCACGCGTTTCGTGAACCAGGCATTCGCGGGTACTGGCATCATACCGTGCAATTATTTGGCCTGTGCCACGGAACGCATTGACTTCCTGAAACAGAAGGTTTATGCGTGGGCGGGACGTATTCGGCGTTATGGAGAAAGGGTAGACCGATTCCGAATAAATCGTTTCTTTCAAAGCGACCAAAGGAAGGTGTACCGCAAATGGGAGGGAATCAATCAAAGTGTGACTAACGAGCCACTGCCAGATACTGCTGCTATGACCAACTTCTGCCGTAGTACCTGGTCAGTGCCTGTTGAGCACATCGAGAGTGATTGGATTAATGTTGTTGAGCGCGAGTGTGAGTCAATAGAACCGATGGAGGCTGTAAACATAAGCTCTGAAAATGTAAGTTGTGCAATCCGTACGGCCCAGAACTGGAAAAGTCCTGGGCCGGACGGGCTGCACAACTACTGGATAAATGGTTTCGAGGCTCACACGAGCGCTTAGCAATGCAATTCCAATACGCTCTCGAGTGTGGTTCCCTGACAATTTTCCTAACAACAGGTATCACCTTCCTTCTTCATAAATCTGGTAGTACCACGGAAGCAAAAAATAAGACCCAAAACTTGCTTGCCAACATTATACAAGCTCCTTACATCCATTTTGAGAGCAAAAGTTAATAAGCATATTAATGCCAAGAACATAATGACAGCGTCTGAAAATGGATGTACGGTTGGGTCCCGTGGTACTAAAGAACTCCTCCTCATTGACATGACCATTTGCCAACATATCCGGCGGAGCAAGGGAGCCCTTTCTGTGGCCTGGATTGACTATGAAAAAACCTATGATTCGGTGCCTCACTCATGGCTGAGAAGGATCCTAGAGTTGTATAAAATCAATGCAACTTTAAGATCCATTTTGGGTACATGTATGAGACAGTGGACCACAATCCTTCGTCAGCCAGACCGTACAGATGACCCCTCGAATGGTATAAGGATAGAGCGAGGCATCTTCCAGGGTGACAGTCTGAGCCTGTTGTGGTTTTGCTTGGCCCTAAATCCTCTTAGCACTTTGCTAAGGGAAACAGGGTTAGGCTGTCGTCTCCGGAGAGGTGGGGAGGTCATTTTTCACTTACTTTACATGGATGGAAAATATTTGCACCAAAACAACCAGACTTGATTAAACTACTGAAAAATACAGAAGTTTTCAGTAGTTCTATCGGGATGGAGTTTGGTGTCGATAAGTGCGCGGTCATGCATGTACAGCGAGGGAAAGTGGAAAATTCCACAAATTTACAACTTTCTGAGACAATCACTCTTAAATCTCTCTCGGAGACGGAAACCTACAAGTATCTTGGTATGTCACAGTCTTTGGGTATTATGGATGGGGACGTAAAACAGTCATTGAAGGAGCGTTTCTTTTGGAGACTGACAAAAGTACTGAATTGTCTCTTGTCGGGAGCCTATAAAATGCGCGCCTTCAATGCCTGGGTGATACCCCTATTTACATACTCCTTTGGCATACTGAGATGGACTCAAACTGAGTTAGACACTCTGGATAGGAAGGTCCGTCAACTGCTCACAATGCACCGTATACTTCATCCGCGCTCATCTGTTATGAGACTGTATATCCCACGTAAGTGTGGAGGTCGTGGCTTATTAAATGCCAAGAATCTCCACAATCGAGAGGTGTGCAGTCTCAGGGATTACTTCCTTAACAGTGAGGGTGAGTTGCATCATGACATTGTAGCAATTGACAAAACCCTAACGCCACTCTCCTTGGCGAAAGAGAACTGGTGCAAGCCGAGGGTGCTAAGCACCCAGGATCGCAAGGAAGTATGGAAAAGCAAGGAGCTCCACGGGCGGTTCTATCGGGCCCTAACAGGGCCTGATGTGGACTAGCTTGCCTCCGTGAACTGGCTACGATTCGGTGAACTCTTTGGGGAAACCGAAGGGTTTGTCTGTGCAATTGCTGACGAAGTCATGATGACGAACAGCTATCGGAGATATATCCTGAGGGTCGTCAGCCTGGTGAATCCCTCAGACATATCGTCTCTGGTTGTTCTCATCTGGCCAACGGAGAGTATTTGCACAGACATAATCTCGTAGCCAGAATTATTCACTAGCAACTTGCTGTTCAATACAACCTTGTAGAATCCGAGGTGCCGTACTATAAGTACACACCGGCGCCAGTTCTTGAAAATGGTCATGCAACGCTCTATTGGTATCGACCTGTCATTACGGACAGGACTATTATTGCCAATAGGCCTGATATCGTATTGACAGATCGAATGAAGCGCCAGGCAGTGCTCATAGATATCACCATCCCGCATGACGAGAACCTCGTGAAGGCCGAGAAGGACAAGCTCAGCAAGTACCTGGACTTGGCCCACGAGGTAACCGCTTTGTGGGATGTGGATTCGACGATCGTTGTCCCTATAGTCGTTAGCGTAAACGGTCTCATAGCGAAGAGTCTCGACTAACATCTAAAGAGCCTCTCGCTAGATGGTTGGGTCAAGGGGCAGATGCAAAAGGCAGTACTCCTGGACACGGCGCGCATCGTCAGGCGGTTTCTTTCTCTGCGGCCCTAACCACCGGTAGCTTGGGCCTCGCCCCGCTGCTGGTGGCCTTCTAGGTTAGGTTTTTTATACTATATTTATTTTTCTATTTACGTTGTTGTATTTTACTTTTATATCTATTTTATAAAAAACCTAACTTGTGAAATGAAATAAATGACAGTATAACAATAAACTAAAACTCTTGTGGAATATGTTTACTTTTGTTAACAAGGAGGAAGTCCAACACAACGAAAATACTATTTTTATTTTTGTAACTGTAATGCAAGATGTAACTTTAGAAGTTTCGTATAAGTTTATTTTATATTTTATTACAATAAATATCATTATAATAAAAACAAATTATTACTCTATCCTCTCTTTTTTCTGGTTTTAAACCCATTGTTCAAAACTGCCCCATATCGATTCAAATGCCTCCAAAATTCAAATCTGCCTCCCTGGGGAAGCAGTTTTGAACAAATTTGTGTTTAAAAATGCCCATTATTTTTCTTTAACGTTTTCAGCAAATTTAAACTTTTCATCATTTTTATATTAATAAAAGGTATGAATAAGTAAGCTAAGAAAACTATGCTTTTTCAATTTTTCTTTACAGTTGATTTTTTATGAGTACAAATACGAAAAATGTGCTAATGTGCCTCCCTCTCCCCTACTTACAACCAGCGTGTTTGAGATGGGTATTTTGAAAACATTTGAAAGTTTTTAAACTCTGCCACTCTTTTTGGGCTAGAAGAAAGTAGTTGTAAATGTCTCTTACAAGATCCTCTATAAAGCGTGGCAATTTGGTACAAGCATATGACGCGCAAAGATGAAACGAATGGCAGGCGCATTTAAGTATAAAAATGTTGAGAATTTCTTTTTGCAGCAATATTACAACAGAATTATTACGTCCCATCATGACGTTTGCCCCATCAGATGTAAAACCTATTAGATTATGTTTATATGGAATATTATTGCTTCTAAAAAAGTTTACAATGTGTTCAAATATGGTTGCTGCATTAGCTTCTTCTAATGGAATAAGAGCTAAAAAACAATCTTTAATACGATTCATTTTCGCATATCTCACAACTAAGCACATGTGTTTGGTTTTACTAAGATCAGTCAACTCGTCAATAATAAGCGAAAACTTAGTTTACTCTAGATCTTCACATCAATTTATTGAAACTTTCTTTACCTATAATATGATCAGTTATGTCATGAGTTTTGGTCGAAGAGCATTTTATTTCTTTTGCTTTTTTTTGAATTAGGACAAACGGGTTGCATTAACTTCAGTAGGTGCTCCATAATAGTGAATGGTAGATTGTGTTCAGCAACAAACATTTTCTATCTTCTTTTTATTCCAGTTATTCTTAATGGCATTAACATCCACCTCTGTTCTTCTTATTTCCGAACTAAGAGCTATTTCCATCGTTCTTTCTAATGTTAACGTTCTTGATTCTAACAGTTTTTCTTGTGCTTTTTGATCGCTTAGCCCATGCAATTTGATTTCTACGTGCCGTATTTAGGAAAACTCCAAAATTGCAAGTTGAGGCTTATTTTAGTAACGCTGCCAAATAATCTCTGACCGATTCACCCTCCATTTGTTTCTGTGGTGGAATTTGGAATATTCCGCTATTTCGAGCAGCGTTGGGTCAAAATGCTCCTTCAGTATGATTTTTAATTCCTGATAATTAACGTCCTTGGGTTCATTTGGCGCCAATAAATCTATCTGTTTGAGCCCCGATGTAATGTAGTAAATACGACCTTTTTAGATCAAATTCTCTGATTTTGTAAATGTAGAATGCGTTTTCCAAACGCTCCAACCATCTTGAAAATTTTGTTGAGTGGTCATAGAATTCAATAAAATTTACTGGTACACACCGAAGGTTTTCTTCGCTTGGCTCCATCCTCGTCGCCATTTGTTGAGCCATTGAACTCAATCAGGCTTTGGACCACATTTCTCAATGGGGTACCAGGAACTTGGTTTAGTTCAATGCTAAGAAAACTCAGGTATGCGCTTTCACGTCGCCATTCCTTTCATGTCCTTCACTTCAGGGCACAACACTAGAGTTAGAGAGCAGCATCACCATGCTTAGTATGGAAATTTGCTGTGACTTGAATCTAAAGAATTACGTCGACAGCATGGTAAAAAAGGCCTCACGCAAACTCGGGAGTCCTGAACAAGGTACGATGTTTTTTCACGCCCGAGCAACTGTGTTTGTTGTATAAGACGCAGGTGCAGTCTTGCGTGGAATATTGCTCGCACCTCTGGGATGGCTACGCCAAGTACTTGCTCGATGCTTTGGACAGGTTACAGCGGCGCGCGATCCGCATCATAAGCGATGAGGAGGTGACTAAACACCTCGAGCCTCTTCAATTACGCCGTAACGTGGCGTCACTAAGCGTGTTCACTCGTCTGTACCATGGCGAGAGTTCCGAGGAGTTATTCTTTCTTATTCCACCTTCCCCTTTCCTTCAGAGGACCATACGCGCTGGCCTACGGCGTCACCGTCTAATTGTGGCCACATTTCTTTGTCGCACTATCCGTAAATGGAATACTCTGCCCGATCACGTGTTTCCTCGTCCTTACAACCTTGGGTCCTTTAAAAGAAGGTTGAAGAAGCAACATGCAGGCCGTTAAGGTGAGGATTGCTGGTGTGGCAGGTAGAACTGCCGTACCAGCTATCTTCATGTCTGGACTTCACCGTCACTCAACATCAGGTGGGGCGGAGTCATTTGTTGGACCTATCTATAATAAAAAATTATAAGCCAGTAAGTTTGTAAATTTGTGTAGAAGATACAATTTTAAAATTGGTGGTCGATACAGGAACTGCGACTTTTATGTATCAATAGTAGAACGTTATTATTCATGTTTATGTCTCGAAAGTGATAATACAATTTTAAAATTCTTTGATTGTATTAAAATAAAGCCGTTGGGTCTAATTCGAACCCGAGTTCGATTCCAAGGTTGGGTAAAACGACTGGAATTATTTGTAATAAAACATGGCACTACGTCCTTGATAGGAAGACAATGGTTAGCAGAGTTACAAATTAAAATAGCTACATACATGGTCACGTAAAAGTATTGTTGATTTGCTTTGTATAGCTAAAAACCAATTTCTAAAATATTATCGACAGATATAAGGAACTATTCAGCGGTGAGGCCACACTGCGCGTGCGCCCGGGAGCGACGACGATATTCCACCGCGCGCGGCCCGTACCGTACGCGCTGCGCGAACACTTAGACGCGGAGCTCAACGCCATGCTGTGCGACGACGTCATCGAGCCAGTCGACTGCTCCGACTGGGTGCCTCTCATATAGTCGGGGTCAAGATTGTGAAGTACAGATTGTGAAGTGGGTACAGATGGACCCAGCCCAGGGGATCCACTCTTGTCTGTTTTAAATAAATAAATTTACTTGGGCATCGCATGAAAACACAATGTTTCTCACATATTATATTAAATTAAATTGTTGAGTGCGACGTGCAAGACGACTACTAAGTGGCTGGAAGTATTTGCAGTGCCTAGTACGGCAGCGAGTTATACGATATTCAGGCTACGCGAACTGTGGACTAGATGGGGTGTTCCTCGGCAGATTATCACCGACAATGGGCCACCGTTTACTAGTAGTTAATTTGCACAGTTTGTGCAGGGTGATGGAATGCAACATATACTTACGGCTCCTTATCAACCAGGGTCACACGGAGCTGTGGAAAATGCCTTTAAGATACTGTCTTATAAAGAAAGCGTATTTAGATAATAAAAATGTAGAAATAGCTTTAAACGTATTTTTGCTTTACTATCCAAATACCGAACACTGTACGACAGGGATAAGCCCGTCGGTTGCATTGTTGGGAAGACGGTTGCGTACAAAATTGGACGTAAGCGTAGGACGAGGAATTCGGTAATAATCACCAAATACCGCAGTCACCGGAGCCTACAGCTCCTGTTGTAACACCGCCGACACCCGTTCTAACTCAGTGGCGCAGCCGACGCCCCCACAGAGCCGTGTGCTGTCATCGCTTGCTGTAGACGAACTGTGCCAGGAAAATGAGACAGAAAAAATCTCCACACTCGTCCCGGCTCATCAGGAAATGCAGATTGAATAAAAGTTATTTATAAAATGTATGTAGGTACTATGTGATTGTTAAATGTAGGTACTTTATTGTGAAATAAATTACTTTATATATAATTAACCTTATATGTTAGTTTGTAGCTGTAGTATTGTTAATTTAGGGTGGAGGGATGTAAAGTAGGTGTACTGCTGCAGGTGCGGTCGCAGCCTGAAATTTTGGAGGGGGTCACTCACTACACTAATAAAAAATAGGTATCTAGAATAAAATAAACATTATTCCACAAGACACTTTTTGACACAAGATTTTTCCATTTGACCTTAGATTTGGGGGGGGGGGGTCATGTCCCCTGTGACCCCCCCTTCGGACCGCGCCTGTACTGCTAGACTGAGTTGCTAACTGCGCCATGACGTCATCATATTTTTAACTAAACTTGCACAAATTAGGCGCAACAACTACCTACCATCTTTTGAAACATTTACATAAACTAAATCTCTCAAAAGATGTAGTAGGCAAGCAGGGATTTTTGGGTTTACTGGAGCGCGGCAGAATAACGTAAGGGGGGCAACCTTGCACCTTGTAAAAATACTCCTACCATACCTGACGACCTCCGTGGCCGAGTGGTTTGTACGCCGGGTTTCATGGTGTCGCCGACTCGAGAGGTCCCGGGTTCGAATCCCGGTGGGGGCAGATGTTTGTGTGATGAATACGAGCATTTGTACTCCAGTCATGGATGTTTAATATGTATTTCTATATAAATATGCTTATATATGTACAGTATATGTATTCTATCCGTTACCCTAGTATCCCATAACACAAGCCTTACAGTGCTTACTTTGGGGCTAGGCTAATTGGTGTGAGTGTTGGAAATATTTATTATTATTATTATTATTTATACCTGAGCGCTCTATGTAGGGCCGCTCGTCTAGGGCAACAAAGAAAATATAATTCTGCAGCACTCCAGTAAATATCCCCGCTTGGCCTCCTCTACTATTGCCGTACATCCAAAAGAATAATATTTTGATAGGTTTACGAATTCGAATCACTAAAATGTTTAAGGTCAGGCTTAACTACTTATTTTTTTATAATTTTTATTTTTTAAGTAGGTATGTAACTGCTTGATGATAAATCTAAAGAAAATATAACTAGAAAAAAATCCGGGCAGCTGACGGGACTCGAACCAGCACCCTTCGCTATCCGGGCGAATGCACTGACCAATTATGCTACCGCGGCCCTAGCGGCCGCGTCGAAATTCTTCTAGCCATTCTTAAGCTGCAAGGCAGCGTCATCTCCTCGCATTGTCGGTAACCCACAATGTCAAATGAATACTTTCACTGACCAATTATGGGGCCCTGATGGCCGCGTCGAAATTCATTCAGAATTCGATGCGGCCATCAGACGCGGCGGGATGGTGTAGAAAGCGCGATGGGCCGAGGCGATAATTTTAGATCACACCCACAACAAGTGGCATAGACGAGGGCACAGACGAATAAGTTCTGATTGCCCGCGTGTAACGAGTACGTTGGCAGTACTCTATACCTGTACGAGCACAGCCCTAGATTTTTGTAGACGACGCATGTTCAAATTGTATGAAAACCTAACTTGTTATATTTTGCAAAACAACATGGAGAAAAGCGTGGGCTCCGGCCACTTTCTTTAATTATTCTACTGACTATTTTTTTCTTAGACTCATTTGCTCTTTAACTAGGTATATTCATTAACACCGACACAGCGGTTTCTTTTGGTGTGAATGAAAAAAAGTAAGAAAAATACCTAATTTCTATCGGGATTCGAGTGCATAGTATTAGTTTTTAATCTATAGTGGTGTCGATTCTGGCATGGTTCTCCTAACTTTTAAAAGTAAAGGGCATTGGGCAAAAATTTATTTACGCTGCACACACGTCAGCCAGAGCTTAAACTACATTTGTTTGAAAGGTATTATAGTCACGATCATCTGTGCCAAAGCGCATCAAATTCCATCCCGGGAGTCTTTAGTTATTTTAAGTCAAATATGGAAAAGTACTATAACGAACATTAATGAAACAAGGGAATTAATTTAGTTAGTTCGACCCTACATAGAGGGCTCAGGGTGTCAATCGCATAACGGGATTGCTATGGCTATTCCTATCGTTATCAATGCCAATTCAATGCGTCATGAAAACCTTCGGCGGTCAGAAATAACAAAATAAAATCGTAAGCGTTAGTGATAGACATAGCAATCCCGTTAAGCGATTGGTACTTAGAGTACTTTTCAAGGTGCAAGGGTGCCCTCTTATATTATTCTGCCGCGCTAGAGTAAATCTAAAAATCCCCGTATGGGATGGGGATTTTCAAACAGTATGTTCGTTATAGTAAATTATCTTCTATGTAAAACGGAGCGACCACAAATCACACAAACTAGTCCACGCTTTGGAGAAAACACGATTCCAGTTCATCCATATTAATTGACAAAACCGATAATCATGTTCCAATGTCCATGATCATCGTGATATGATTTAGTTTTAAACAATCACCTGCCCACCACATTGGAAATAACGGCAAATAAAACAGTGGTTTGCTTTAAAAAGTTTATTTCCTAAAAAAAATATACACTTACAATTATCCCAAAATATTTCCTTTTCGAGTTACGCTGAACGTAGGTTATCGCGACCTCCTTACATCAATAAAAATTTCGATATCGACAATTTCGCCAAGAAATTTGTGATCATGTAATATGTCCACTTGGGGGAAAGATCAATTTATTTTTATTAATAATATAGTAGGAAGGTACTCACACAATTTACATCTAAACAGTTATGTCGTTTCTGTAAAACTGAAAAGACATTGTTTATTTTTTATTGAAACCTAAGAACATAATATGTGTAATATTATTACACAGGTGCAACTTTACAACAAATCATGATGTACATTTAAAATAAATATAGCATTAAATTAATCTTAATTTAAGGTTTTAATGACGAAATGGTTTATTATTATGCTTTACCAATTAAAGGTAACTTAGTAAAAAAATACCCAACTGTAACGGTAATCATGTTGTAGAATTTTAGTGGTGTAAGTTAATGTACATTTCACTAGAATATATTATATTCAAACCCCGTAATCAGCTTTTGATTATATGTATGAATATAAACAAAAAAACCATTGAATGTAATTGTTTGTTATGAATCACATCACAAGTTTAAAGTTTCTTATTTATAAATAATAATATTTTAAGAGATAGTCGTAACACTTTCATTATGATCTATATATTTTACTATAGCTGGATGATAATTATTCAGTTTTTAATAGTATCATAAGTAATCGGAAGGTGTGATTGTGACGTCACGCAGCACTCAACCAAGTATAAGAAGAACCATCTATAGTGCAAGATGGGTAGCAGCGCCTCTATCAAATACATAGCCACACAATTAATTTTTCACAATTTAATTGTTTTGTGTTTCGTATGGCCTAAAATAGCGCGGCAAACGTAGGAGACAGCCTACTGCGTCATTATTATCCAATCATGGCATTACTGCTGTTTAGATACTGTGTTTTGATTAGGATGTATTTGAACTTTTTGTAACGTTGAGAAGTAAGAGTTCGACAGGGTGCTATGCGCGTAATGTCACAAGCCAACCTTCTGATCAACCTGTCGTATTGAAAGTTGGTGGACCACAGAACCTTTTAAGGAGCATCATTATATTTGTCAGCTATTAGGGTCAAATCAAACTCATATCGATATAGCAAGTGGTCGGCAGGTTCTACGTCAAACTTTTTGCGTTTTAGTCTTTCAAACATTACCTAAAGGAGATTAAGAATTAATGGAGATCATGATTTAAATGGCTCGACAGTGATCCTGCCCACTGTTGCCTCATCAGTGTGAATTGATCCTAATATCACACGTATTAAAATTACACTTGCTCCATATAAAGTTACGCCCGTTACATAAGTACAACATAAATGATAAAGATAAAAAAGGAAAATATAAATGAGATGTACGATAAATATATACACCACTCCGGGAACGTTCGACAATACAATATGGAATTTGGCAAGAAAACTCGCTTGAGAGTGATTAACTGGAGCGGGGTTTTATAAACACGATGAAATCTTTAATAACAGAATTAAAGAACGCATTAAAATACAGGCAAAATGGGAAACATCAAATGACAAAAAACATGGACGTAAGTCGGATGGATTACTAAACCGGATTCTTTCAAAGTCGAAATCAATATGGTAATTATTTTGCATTCGGAAAACAGAGTGTAGGTGTTTATGGTTCGCGTGGAGCTCTGCGTTCGAGTTCGCACACATACTTCAATCACTTGTTCGATGTTAGTATGGAATGTTTGTGGAGTTATATGAGGCACTGCCGCGTAATATTTCTCTAAAACTTGGCTCGCTGTAACACAACACAATGCGACATACCTACTGTAAGATTTTACACTATTATTCTAGTAACATTCGAAAAGAATAAGAGACTGACCGCACTGAAATGAGATTTACTTCGACAGCAAATCACAAAAAATATTTGATATAAACTTACGAAGCATTGAAACTTACGAATTTTAGCTCATAAGAAAATATTTTTCCACTAACAAATTCAGTTCATCCTAGGGTACCAAGAATATTTAATTTGTAAAGAGACTAATGCATGAATTTTTAACTTTTAATGCTTTGGGTTTTACGTTTACAGAAATTGTGTCTATTTTTATAAAGATAATGATGTCTTACGTGCAGCAGCACCTCAAGTGTACCAAATATGCATATTACCTGCAACATATACTTTCTTGTATACATTTACATCTCGTTAATAACTTAATATGTAGCTTACAATAATATTCCTTACCCTAGTAACGTTTATCCAAACTTTTTGATACAACGTTGTCACCGTATCGGCTTTCAATGCTACTCAGTCGAATCTGATGTACGCGGATCCTACGAAATTTGTATGATAATATAATATACCTAAATATTTATTTAGGTTTCTCATAGAACTTGATTTATAAGATTTACATAGGTATAATCGCTGGGTGCAAAGTAAGATGTGGGGGAATCACGAATTGATCGCATCGCGCACTTTCGGCAGATCAAGTGTTACCTTTTTACTTGCAAAATTTAAGTATCCGTGCATTTTATGTAAAAATAAATAAAAATGCGACACGACGCCGGCTGCGAACCTAGTAAACTGTAAGAACAATGGCATAAAACAGTGATCACAAACTATAAATTGTCACAAGCAAATTCGAAACGAGAACAACAAATGAAATGAAAAAAATTACTGTCAAGAGGTTAAGAGTAAACTAAGTAATCTAACTTTAAGATAAACTTTTTAATATTATTTTTTGTATTTTGTAGGAAGTAGCACGTTACAATGCATTTGAAATCTTTCACATTTTGAGCCAAAACTAATTCTTTTCCTTTTATTGTTGTTTGTGGTTGGAAAGCAATGTCGTATGCGATTGCTTGAATAAATTCATTATTTTCCCTAAACGAATTTTTGTAGAACATGTGATTTATCTTCAGTCAATTTATTGAATTAAGTTTAAGTCACGCTTTAGGTGAGTATTTGACGCACGTCATACAAATCGAAGGATCCACATAGGTAGTGTTTTCCTTAAATACCCATTTACTAATAAACAATACTGGCAGTTCTTATAGTTATCAATATTGGATAGACAAGAAAACCTCACCAAAGATATTGTGTATGAAAGTAATATTATCATTTCAATAAGCTCTATATCCAAACAGAATAAAATATGAAAATAGTTTCACTCAAATTGCTTAGGTTTAAAAACTGTAAATCTATTAGCTGGTTAGAGTTAAATTTTGCTATGACTTTAACATGATATGACAGTTAAAGTAAGTTGGTGCAACGCACGCTAAGTCAATTACGAAGTAATAGTTCCGCAAAAACTATTGCAAAAGTTGACTTTCAATAATTGTTGAAAATATAAACGAAAACCATAAGATTATTAAATTTTTATATAGTTAGTGATATTTTCTTGAACGTAAACAAAATATTTGTTATACCGAAATTTTTGTACGACTATAATTCTAGTTTTGTTACGTTACAATTTTTTATTAATTCGACCCTTTGTAATCTTGTGGCAAAGTTGTAGATAGAACATGGTTTGTGGTGACAATATATTAATTTAGGTTTTGGTTATTAGTAAATGTAATTATTCGACTAGTTTCTCGAGTACTATGCCGCTAAGAAAGCAAGCCCGTGGTGTTGGTGACGTGCAAACATTTAGTTACCAAGACTCGGTTAGTCGTGTAGCAGTCTGGTATAGTCCGATCCAAACTTTGGCAATTGTGAAGCTAGCAGTGAGCCCAATGAGCGTTTTGATTCAGTGACATCCTACAGGCGCCTACATCCTACGTTTGGAATAATGCACAGCAACATGCGCGATCTTCACAGCCGCGCCGTTAAGTTTGAATAGCACTCTAGCAGACTATTGCGTGTCAAGATGCTGCCCGTGCGAGCGACCGTCTCAGACCAATGAGATCGCGTTTAAATACCGACTCGCATCGTCATTTCATAATAAATATTTAATGTTATATTATCCGGTTGCAGTGGATGCAGCGAATTCGCCCCGGCGGCCATGCATAATGTTCACTTAACGTATTCGTAATGGACGGTGAATATATAAAACTCTTGACTCCTTTAAAATATATAAGAATGCCGATTTATTAATTTAAAGCCTCAAAAATTCATACAGATGTAATTTTCTTTCACCAAAATGAGAATACGGAAACCATAATAATGTTTGATTTTTAACTCGCTCCTTCCCAGAATACCGAAACCTGATGGGTTGTGGTATATCATATAGAAAAGGCATTCTACTTTCGTAAATATTTAATATAAGATTTGTTTGAATTGCAAAGAATACGTAAATATAACTATGTAATATAATATCTGCATGGCCAAATTTGATTGCGATATAATCGCAATACTTATCTTATTGTTGAATAACGCTTGTGCGCTTATAAACAGCTAAAACATATTGCACGATACACGGAGGTTTAAACAGTTGTGTATAGAGAATAGTCATCGTTACAGAGATATAAATAAAGCATATTTTTAAAGACATTGTAAAAATATAAAAAGTCTGAATGAGTAAGTCCTCCTTACCCTTACACTGTGCTTAAAAATACAACAATCATATCTTAGTTTAATTATAATGATATTTTCTGATGGGACGCGAATGAGCAGTTTGTAATTTGTATTGTGAAATAGAAAAGTTATCATAATCAACATTTCGAGTATAAATATTTCAGTAAATTATGAACCAAATACTCAATCTCCTGATAAAGCTTTAACTTCATCACTCTATATTATATAATTTGGACACACTTTAAAACATCATACATTAAAGTGTAATACAGATAAGAATCGTTTTATCTTTCTAACAAAAAGTTATAAATTTGTATATAATGTGATGGATGACAAATAAAGGCACTCAGAGACGTCAATTAAATCGAATGCTGTAAAGTGATGTTTTGTCTAATGTTATTGCTATCGTAAAGAAAGGCAGAATCAACACTCTTAAATAGCTTAAAATTCACGTCTCTTAGTTAGACCTTTCGAAATAAAGTCTCCACATAAGACTTTGCCTAGATTAGTCGCTAATTATTGCTAACAGAATTCAATATTGCGTTTAAACATTTAAATAACACATTGAATGACTGTTGCTTTAATTATTTTTTCTGCGGTTTATTTTCAGTCAAAAGTGTTAAAATAACCTTTACTACCCTGGTAGGAAGGGCCAACATTATGTTTATCTTTTAATTTATGTCAATTTAAACTATAATCCACTGCTGTGACTGAAAATTAACTTAGAAAAATTTAATTCTAGGAATTTAATTTATCAAAAATTACACAGTATCATTAGTTACATTGCGTCCTATCCTATGGGAAACGTGAGCATAAAATAAAAACATGTTTATTTATGAGCACATTACTGAATTAACGCCGGAGCTAATAGTAAATTCTGTACGCGTTTTCAATTAATTATTTTGAGTCTTCTCTCAATTAATCTCTTTTAATATTTTTTTAAGACAGGTCGCATCAGCCCTATCATTGTACAATAATTCATTCATTGTGTGAAGGTCACAATTATAATTTTGTATTTCAAAAATAGCATTCTTAATAAATCTATAATATTCAAATTTTATAAGGGTGACAACTGAAACTTAATTAAAAACAGTGACATATTTTATTTTAAAATATTGATTTCTTTTTAATTGAGCGTCTTACAAGATGACTTGGTTTGACATGACAATACTATTCAGGTGATAGGTTATGTAATTAGTCAAATGATGCTGATACTTGCAAGGCCCCTTTTATTCGCATTAAGCGTTTTTCATTAACCGACCGTTAAGGTTATTGGAAATTAGGCCAAACGCTGTGTTGAACAGTTCCTAGTATTATACTCTGCTTTTAATCCAGGAGACATAATGACTTTTTTTTGCATTTTTCGTCGTGTTGACAGTAAAACCCACTCTTTCTACGCGACCGCTCTCGATTCCCTTGTTTTAATTTAATACATACAATCAGTCTGTATATATTTATTGCTTTATTGTAAATTCTATAAATTAATATAAAATTTATTATTAATTCTACCATAAACTTTGATGTAGCATTAAAGCCGGACGTCTCTCAAGCAGAATCATGAAAACATCCTTCTCGTAAATGTAATCAGGCTAAATTGACATGTCAATGTGTCATTAAAGTTTGTTCAGAAAAGGACATTGCAAAGGTAGGAGCTAATGATGAGATGACGGGTGATCGTGAAGTATGAAAGAACAAATACAACGCATTACGTCAACCTAAAAAATGGGAATCTGGCGGGTGAATGATGTGATTATTGTTTTCAAATTTTTCATTTCTTGTCTCTGAGATTGAAAAACACGAGTATATCTAGGAGTAGGTAGGGGCGAAGTCACTGACCGGGGGTAAGTCGGCTTGGTTGGGCAGGTCATTGACCCCGGGGGCGCGGCGAGGCGGCTAGGTGGGCCCGGCGGCCGCCTGCATCACCTCGTCGAACGCCTGCTCGAGGCAGTGCTTGAGCTCCGCGTACGATACGACAAGGACGCTTTGCTCGTCGCGCGACATCAGCTCCACCTGTTGGCGGGTGGAAAAACTGTTCAGGCATTCCTATCATAATAGGTTGGGGAAAAAGTCTTTTCGCATTATAGTACATATGTATGAATTTGTAATAAAATCTCTTAGGCTATACCATTCGTATCTGGCTGGTTTTGGTACCATTAAAAAGTTTAAATTTTATAGAAGATGATTCCAAATTTAAATTAGAATAATGCGTGATTTTTATTTGGTTTTCTTACTGTCAAGATGAGTGAATCTAATGAAAAATGGATACATTTCAAATTTTACTACAAAAAGGGTAAAAATGCAACGCAAGCCACGAAAAAAATTGTTGTGAAATGTTTATGGACCTAGTGCAGTGTCAATGAGAGTAGCACAAATTTGGTTTAAGCGTTTTCAATGTTTATTTTTAAAAGTGGAGCTAGATCGGCATATCCTTTGTTACGACGTATCTGCAAAACGAAAATTCCTTCATTATAAGATTGGTTTATTAAGAATGTTATTTTATTCTTGAACTCGTCAACACAGTGTGCTAGAAGTCTAGCCGGAATTTCATCATGTCCGCAAGAGTTGTTACGTTTTAGAGATAATATGACTTTTTTCACATCAGACTCGGATATGTCGCCTAAAAATACAGAATTCATGAGTGAATTCTTTGGACAGTGACAAGAGCTAGTTTGTTTTTTTGAAGTAACTCCAGTGAAATAATTTTGAAACAAATTTGCAACTATTATCGGAGAAACGACTTCTTCGATTCCTTCATTTAAAATTATATTTTCATGTCTTACGTTATTAGCTGTTTTAATTTTTTCATTAATCATGGACCACATTGCTTTAAGTTTATTACTGGAAGTTTTTAATATATTTATATATGCATTCCTTTTTTCATTCGCCACTATTTTCTTAAAGATTTTATTATATGATTTAGCATAAGCTTTAAGATTTTCATTTTCATAAAACACTGATAGGTGACGTAGAATTCGTTTATGATAACTACATTTCTTTATTCCTTTTGTTATCCATGAAGTCTTATTTTTGTTTTTCATTACTATTTTCTTTTTAGGAATGTATGTATCTAATAGGGACCTTATTTCGGTTTCAAAGTTATTGTAATTAGTATTTGTATCTTGTTTTGTAGACAAAATTTTTGACCAATCAATTTGCTTTAGATGTATCTTAAAAGCTTCCATATTTTTCATATTATATGTTCTTTTAATTATTTTGTATGGGACTGTCCTCACTTTCTTATGCTGTACTAAAGGTATGTGCCCAATCAGTGTATGATGGTCTGATAAGTGGTTTTTTTGAATGAACATTTCTATAGATACATTTTTTGTGACAATAAACTGATCAAATACAAGATGAGGTACTCCGAGTCTCTCGCGTGGGTTCTCTGATAAGGCAGTGCAACCCATAAGATTCTAAAAGGTTAGTAAATCTTCGCGCAATGCTTGTATTTTTTGTGACATCAATATTTATGTCACCTGCAATAATATTTCTTTTACTTAATGAACATTTAGACAAATTCTCTAATAAACTCTGCATCTGTGAGAAAAATATCTCTATATCACGATCCGGTCGATAAACAGATATTATTATAAAGTTTAAATCAATTACGTCAATAGCACAAAAAGTTCCCTGGTTTTAATGTTTTTCTTTGTAAATATAGCGACGCCACCGTGCTCATGCCTTTGACGTATATACTTAGCACGTAATTCATACCCCTCCAGTGTATAAAGCTCAAAATTACAAGGTAACATCCAGTGTTCGCCTATTACTATAACGTCAATTTCATTGTCTGACAAAAAACAATTCAATTCTTCGATTTTATTTGTTAAACATTGTATGTTCTGGCACATGATCCTAAAATTATTATTAGGCACGAAAGGAAGACTTTTCTAAATCACTTTTGTGCAGATTCGTATGTGATGTGGAATCAGAAAATTCTTCTCCCTCCAAAAAAGTTACATACTAGATCTTTTTCAATTGCTAACATAAATTGCGTTACATCATAGAGTATGGATTTAAAGCCATAGTTGTTGATTCTTCCACATATTTCTGAAAACATTTCGTAGGAATATACAAGATTCTTATTCGAGTCTAAAATATAGCAGTATTGAAATTTTACATTATCATGATATAGAAATTTATTAAATATTTCAATTGTATAGTTAAAAATTTTTGCTTGATAACAATATTTAAAGGTCACACATAAAATTACGTTCGTGTGCTGTACGGAAAGAAGAACTTCTCTTATATATTTAACGATATTTTTATAATTTTTTGACACAATAAAATCTGCCTCACCCAAAAAAATAACACAGTAGTCCTTCAATGTGAAATCTTTTAATTTATTTTGAAGTCCGGCCAGTAATTGACGTGAGCCACCCCCGGGGATACGGTAGTGGCACATGTTGAACTCACCAAAATTTCTTCTCACCGTTGCAGCTACTTTATTTTGATCGATGCTGCTAATAAAGCATAATTTACTTGTGTTTATATTCTTTATTTTTAGTTCATGCGAGTTTGAATTAAAAATACTCTTTGACTTGATCTTATTTTGTTCTATTTCTTCTGGTTCCTGGGTGCGGGAACTTTTGGAAGCTGGGGATTGACATACGTTGGTTGTTTACTCCATTACCTTTATTTATTTCGTCTAAATTTATAGTTTTATAATTCTTAATTGTTTGTTCTTGCTCTAAGTTCCTCTCTGATTAATGTCTAATTGTCATAGTAAGGTTTTTAATTTCGTTATTAGCTGTTTGTAACTTCGATTTCAATAACATTATTTCTGTTTTTAATTTTTGTAGAATTTGTTTATTTTCTATGGTGTCATCCGGCAAACTTTGTGAACTAGTATTCACATTTATGTCACAGGAAAGTGTGTTCTCTCGCGATGCAGATTTTTTCCTTCCTCGGACTGTCACAAAATCAAAGTTACTTTCTTTTTCGGTTCCCTCGTCTTCCAATAAAGATTCAAACGAGTTATATATAAGGACGTTTATATTCGTGTTTACTGCATTTTGTGTGTTTTGGAATCTACAGCTATCACACTGACAATTTTCTTTCTTCATGAGGAAAAACATTTTTTCGCCAATACTAGTGCAATCAACGTGGAATTGTTTTTTACAATCCTTACAGTTTATGAATCTCTTCTCTTTATTGCCTTGCCACACTTAGCGCAGTCATGTGACATTTTTATCTGTTATTATAATACAGAAGCCCAAAAAAAATTTGAATAAAAATAAAAGGTAAAATTAGTATTTGGTACTCTCGAGATTTGAACCCGAGTCGTTGGTTAAAGCGCTCGGTGCTCGGCGCCACTAGATAAGTATAAAGTGACGGTGAAATAAGCGTACTATTAGTTGGTGTGCGCGTAGTGCTGTTAAGAAAGCTCAATGACCTTGAGTCAAAGTATCAAAACTGCGATACGTTAGAATTTTTGCACCACCTTCAATCACTTTTATTTACTTATTGTCTTCGTTATTTAATTGTAATATTCTTATTTTATTCACAACACAGTATTTTTAAAGGTTTTATTATTGATTCACTGACACATTCACAGTTCACTAAGTATAGTCTCATAAAAGAAAAAAAAAATGAGTGCGTGTACTTATGTAGGCGCGTGAGAAGTTATCCTTCTTTGGCATCGTTTAAAATTAGTTTTTAATTGCATGCAAATAATTAATTATAATAAACTAATAAAAAGTCTGGAAAAGGACACAGTCAATAAAGTTCAGTTTTAATTTGAAAAAATAAATAAATAATCAAAATATTCAATTAAAATCGCTACTGAATATAATTTATTAGAACATATGTGATTTGCACTTGTATGAAACTCAAACACGTATTCCGAATATACAAACTAGAAACATGTGGATAAATATTATAAATATGAATACCTATAACTGTTACTTTATTACAAAAAATAAAGATGTGGTTTTTGGTTCTACTACACCAATAGTCAAGAGATGGCGCTGTAGTCTCCTGAATCGCGCTTTGGTTCCTTTGTTCCAGATTAATAAATACTTTTGATAGGCCTTCACAATGCAGTCGTTAGCACCCACTTAATAGAGATTCTATTTCTATTTTGTTGGTAGATTTTCTTAATGTGCGGTAAACACAAAAGTAACAGCATGAAGTTGATCGTGTCGCTAAAGCGACCAACTTCATGATGTTAAAATTTTGTGTTACAGTGATGCGCGCGCATCTTAAAATTTCACTCTCATCATTTTTTCATAACGCGCCTAAAGAAGTTTAACTTCAAAAATATATATATTTGGATTTAATTTTTCGTGAAGGGATGTCTCGGATAACGATAATTTGCGATTATTATAAACTTGATGATAGTTTTATAACACTATCAAAAGGAAATGTTGAAAAAGCTATATTTTGAGCTTTTTCGTGCGGAGCTAATGTTTACTGTCTGACGCCCTCTAGCGGTCTCCCTACATGGCTACAATATAGCTACAAAACCAATTAAAACCCACAAACAAAAAAGTTTAAAACGGTTCGGACGCGAAAAAAAATATGCTGTTGCACATTTGCGGCAATTAAGACTGTATAGTCCTAAAAATCTGAAATAATTATACCTTGGCCGTCGTGCCACCGTCGAGCTGGTTGAGGCAGTGCGCCAGGTGCGCCTGGTCGATCCACGGCCGGCCGTCCTCCGTCACGGAATGGAACAAGTGGTCACGGAACAACTTCAGCATGTATCGGTCACCCGTCTCCGACCAAGTCGCGTCCAAGTTCAGTCTGACGGCAAATCGTATTTTTGTATTAATTCGGAATATTGTTTGACATTTTTGTGGAATTAGGTTTTCTTGACTGTGTGGGCAAAAGTGTAGGATCATTGTCTGGAAATCCCTAGAGGAGACCTATGTCCAGCCGTGGACGTAAATCGGCTGATTATAATGATGATGATGAGCGAATAATTTGATATAATATATGGTGTTGTTAACAATGTAAGCAAAAATTCACAAATGGACATTGTGTTGAATTGTTTTGGGGACATTATATTTGTATGCCAAATGGGGTGATCACGGTTGTACGATTTAACACCCATGTAACTCTTAACCCGTGTATTAAAAATATAGTATTTGATTTGGTCGTCGTTGAGAAACTTTTGCAACTTTAGCATGAGCATCGCGATATGAGAAATCACACTTTTATCAAGCTCAGATATCATAGAACTATGGGTTTTGACAGTAACACGTTATATAAATGGATTTTATATCATATCACGGTGATCATGTGCTGGTGTAGTAACAAAATCGAAAGTTTTAAGTTAAGGCAGCATTTACTTGAGTAGACCAATAAGAAAAAAATGGTGTGGTTTTATGAAACTAAGATGCAAGTTAAACTTTTAAAATCATTAATAACACAAAGTCCTTCCTCGGCTGGGAATCGAACCAGGGCCGCCCGCGTCCAAATGAGATTTCTACCACTGAACCACCGATGCCTGTTAATATAGTCTGAACTATTCAATAACAATTAAAAATTTAATACGTCATGCTAAAGATGAACGAAAACAAATTGTGGCGAAGTAAAAGTTTCACTTAAACAGTTTACAAAAAAGAATAGTTTCCAATATGTATTAGAAAGCAAAAAATAAACAAAAAGTGATCGTATCTCGTATTCGCATCGATTTGGATTATTTTATGGTTTTTATCATGATGGTTATAAGTGTGTTTATCTATGTTTGTATCTCACTCCGGTCGTTCGTTGACCACGCCCAGCTTGATGAGTATGCGCAGGAGGCGTCCGTTGTCGATCTCCCGCGCTAATTGTTCTTCGAAAGCATCCGCTCGCCGCTCCAGAGCTTCCACCTGCGTCGTATACAAGATACCACTCGGGTATTATTAGACGTTGTAGATTTGGTCCCTTTTTATAATTTGTTTATGAACCTGTAAGCCTATTCGCTAACTGATTTTGACAGATGGAAGTGATAATCACCGAGCTATTTAGTGATCCACTACTGCTTTATTAAAACGCCACTAACTTAACTTGTTCTGAAAAGCATCGATGGATAAGCAACTTTCTCTGTAGTTACACACTGTAAATGTGTAAAAAAAGTACGCGAATAGGCCGGCTGAACCATGTAGCGCTTTGTGTACACTCTGTTCAGGATACGGGGTAAATATATATTTAGCTTGCCAATATAGAAACGAATCGAAAATGACGCGTTTTGTTCATTTCCCGCATATACTGTTAGGAGTCATGTGCAATAAGGACAATTGATCAAAGACGTTATATAAAGACCCCACTGTCAGAGCGGGGCCATCAAATTGGAGTATAAGAAGAGAGAATAAGAATTTATATTTATTTTTTATTTGTGTTACATTTTAGCTCGGAAGAAATATTACTTTCTCAAACATGCAATGTGTTTAAAAAACAAGATTCAAGGAGTTTGCAATCGTTAAAATCAACTCAATCACGCAAAAACTACTGAACGGATTTGGATGTTATTTGGTATGCATATAGTTTATGACCTGGATTGAGACTTTTTATCCAGGAAAAGTGGGTTCCTGAGGGATTCTCAAAAAAACTAAAGTTAATTTGGCGAAGTTGTGGGCGGCCGTTCGTGTTATTATATGAGTAAGTTCTGCATGAAGTTTATAATGTTACCTGCGTATAGAAGCGAGCACCAATCATCGGCATGAGGTCGGTGACAGACCGCCGCGCTGGCGACGTAGACAGCAAGTACCTGCCGAACGATCGCTCTACAGTCGGGTCACGTTGGTGGACGCAATCCGACAATCACAACGCCTTTATTACCATTGAATAAGAGCGACAGTTGCAGTTCAATTGTATCTATCGTGGTTTCCACTGCCATATCACTAACCCCACTTAACTTGCAACTACAAAAACTACTGAAGACACCAGATGGCGCTCTATTGTACGCGTATTGTCTATATTAGGGTGTAATTTATGAGTTGGGGAAAATGTTTCTTCGCAATTTATATGATAATTCAAAACATTTTTTAATAAGGTTTATTTATATTTAACTAAAGTATGTCGTTGCCACATTATCATGATCACTGCCACAGAAGAAGTGTAGAAGTTACAGGGCTTCTGATCAAAAAACCGCGACAAGTGGTTTTGGCAGTCCTCTCGTGCTGTTAACTTGACACTGCCTAAAGAATTCGGAAGAGACCGAAACAGGTGGAAATCTGAAGGTGCACGGTCAGGACTATAACGGATGCATTAACACCTCCCAGTCAAACTCTCTTAAACTTATGCTGAGTGGCTAAAGATGTGTGAGGTCCAGTGTTATGATGATGAAAAACTACACCCCTTCCGTTGAATAATTCTCTTAACTTCTTGCTTTAATCTCATCAGTTGTTCGCAGTAGAGTTCAGAATCGATGGACCTGCCTGGCGGTAACGGCCCATAATGAATAATTCCCTTCCAATCGCACCATACACACAAAATCACCTTGTTGCGTATTGACTCGGGTTTCGCCAGTCTGTAAAGCCTGACCGGCCTATGACCACGACCTTTTTCGTACGTTCTTGTCGTATGTGATCCACTTTTCATCACTAGTTATCAGCTTCTTCAAATATGATTCGGTTTCATTACATCGTAATAAAGAATCATAAATGAGCGAGTACATGGTTCATTAGGTTTCTTTCATTGAGCTCGCGAAGCACCCAAATATCGAGCTTTTTTGTGTACCCAGCTTTTTTCAAATGCGCCAACTGTTTTGTGATCAATGCCCAGTTCTGCAGCTACGTCGCAACAAAAAATGTTTAATGATACCATAACCAGCCAGATACAAATGGTATTGGCAAAGAGATTTTATTACAAGTTCATACATACTATAATGCGAAAACTTTTTCCCCAACCTATTAAATTACTTGCTTGATGAATTTGCGCCCAAAAACTTCCTTCCCCGACCTGAAACCACAGTGGCGCCAACTGGTGACATGAATTTTCTTAAATACCCTCATTGCGTATGGCCCGACCGTCCGATGTAAATTGAAAATAAAAAATAATTAGAGATCATATTTATATCGGCGTAGAACCGCCTTCTAGGAAACAGAGGGTACATCCTGTAGTGGGCACTGCAATTCAGTAGATGTAATGTTTTTTTTTGACAACATTCATATTAATTAATAGTACTTGCATAAAATAAAAAAAGCTTTATTCACTTTGTATCAAATAAGTCACATTATATTATTAGGGAGCGCGTAGAAAATAACTGATTATTTCAAAGGGGAAGAAACAGATAAGGTTAATAACCTTTATTCTAAAACATTGTTGATCTATACTCACAGAAACTTCTTTAAATTCTCAACATTCAGTTCGCAAGTTGAGGTCCTCAAGTTCTCATTAACCAATACTCACAGGATGAGGTTTTTGAGGTCTGCGGAGTAGGTGCGCGCGACCAGTTCCATAGAAGCCGGTAGGTTTTCGCAGTGGATGGTGCGACACGCGAGCGCCAGCGCCAGCCGCCCGAGAGCCGTCAGGTCCTCCTGCTGTGCCTATTGCAAGGAGTCAACTTAATGTGGAAACTACGAAAGAAGCATCATGCAGGCCGGCAAGGTGAGGATGGCTGGTGTGGCAGGTAGAACTGCTGTACCAGCTATCTTCGCATCTGGACTTCACCATAACTTAACATAAGGTGGGATGGAGTCATTTGTCGGCTTCATCTATAGAAAAAATAGTTTAAAAAAAAACTAGTAAAACACGCTTTTATAAATGCACGTAAATACAAAAAAATAATTATAGATCGTTCAAGTTGTCTCTATTTCTGAGCTGAAGTGTAAACTATGTGCTTTTAATTATAATATTTGATTGTAAAAGCGTGGGGCGTTGGAACAGAAAAGACTTTTTATAAAACAAACGTAACTTCCTTTGCTTTTGTTGGGTGTGCCAAGTTGGTCTTCTCTATCTGTCAGCGTTTCTATAATGTATTTGATCAAAGATATTGCCATTCTTCCGCTAATATCAGAAAAAAAACGACAACGTTTGCAACAAGATCTAATGGGCTATTGCCCTTATACTTCAGACCATACAGTTGTTTTGTTGAGATGTGGTGCCTTGTTATGGCTCAATCTGCAAAACATATCTAAGATCCAGGAATTGAATCCATAACAAATCGTGTTTCCCTACGTGATAGAATCAGAAGTTAGGAAATCCGCAGGAGGACTAAAGTCACCAAATTTAGGCTAGTAGGTATCTGGGTTAATTAGATATTTAATACAAGTACAAAAACAAAACGTCCAGAGGTAGGATGGTACAGCAGAAATTTTGTACAGCAAGCTGTTGCTACTAATCTCTATGAGTATGACTATGATCACTCAAAACTAATTGCTGCATTTTTGTTTGTGATAACTTTTAATTTTGTTTTCCAAATAAAAACAAGGCTCACCACATATCAGATCTAATTTCAGGTCTTTAGTACCCTTCTATACTTAATATGGTCCTATTCCATATGTGGTTTGTTATTTCAATCCATTTCTGTTCATAAACTAGGTTTATGCCCAGGCAATGGGCGCTTGGTCTTTTTATATCAACGGGCTGTTTACCGCAACTCGTCACTGTGTGCCTATTGTGCGTATTTAATGGCATCAGTGCTACCATCTTCGCTCCTCCAAAGTGCTAAGTCGCAAACGGGTGTTTGCTGCAGGATTGTAATAGTGTTGGTAGGTTTCCTATAATAGTGTTGGTAAGTATCCTATAACAGCCCCGGCTAGGCCGGGAGGCGGTGCAGTCCCTCAACGGGGATCTTGCGGTTCGGCACTGAACAGCGTAGAGGGTATTCGCAGGGTTTTTTAGCGGATACAGCGCGGACTGCTTAACGGCTTTTACGTTTCGCACCTGTGAGACTTGCGAGAGGCTAGGTGCGAGGTCCGTTCGTTGGTGTGCCCCTTAAGGGCGCCAACATCCGTAAATAGAGGTTTTGCCTGCGTAATAAAAAAAAAACGAGCGAGCTTACAGTAGTCGCGTATGATGTGTAACATTTGAAACCTCACCTTATATTATTAAAAAAAGGAATAAAACCTACTACAAAAGGAATAAGCTTTTTGAACATTATGTTCTAAATTCAAATCAAATAGCGCGCGCTTTCGCGACTTCCTGATACACACTTCCGTCCCATTTCACGAAATCACTCCCACAAATTGCAGGAAAGCGAGGGGAAAGATGTTACACATAAAGAAAGGTTTCCTATAACAGACATTAATAGGCGACTCACCTGTCCGATGTCCCCGTTGTTAGGATGCAGTGCGTCCGCCACGCCGCACCAGGCGATTCTAATGCGACACCCGTTCATCACCACTTTAGTGGGGTCCAGGCTCCTAAGGACACGTTTACATTCAATCAATGCAATTAAGAAGGCCATAATTGATCAAGGAACTTATATACTAACTGGAATGCTTACGAAACAATATGGAAATTCAAAAAAAAGCATTCCAGTCCATTTTTGTTTCTACCTTCATAAGGGGGAAAAATACTCCTAGCGCGACAACGACGAAAGTGGAATCTGTCCCTCTTTTCAACTATTTGGGCACACTACTAGAGCGAGACAGATTCCACCAATTCAGCTATGCTCTTGGAACGATTTTGAGGGTCGTGTAAGCATTCCAGTTAGTACATATGTTCCTTGCAATTGATAGATTAAAAAGAAAAAGAAAGTAATTTAAAAACAATTAAGTGATTAAATTTTTTTAGCCAACTTTAATGGTTGGGTTCAAATTTGTTTATACGCCATGCTCGTGAACGGGTGCTGCCGGTAAGGATGATAAGGATGAGTCTGCTCTGTGATACTTTATTTACTTCTTGAACATTACATATTTATATTATATAAATACACACTAAAAGGGTACCAAAACGTGCCAGACATAGCGTTAAGCAAAATAAGTGTCATTACATTCATTATAGTTCATTGATGTTGTAGGTTTTTTTTCGCAACTCGACTAAAAGGAGTCTTAAGCTGGTGGAAGAAAAACAGGCAGGATTATTCAAAACAGTTGTTTCATATTCAGATCGTATTTTTTTAAATCATTTGTTCGCCGTCATAAATGCTTATGTTTTTACTGATTATTGCATATTAAGTCGATCAATTTTACCCCTAAATGAGACCTTCGATTTTTTGCCCAATTTTGTACCCTGTTAAAAATTATCTCAAAAAGCGTCTAAAATTATACTTACAAAGACTCACTTTTCAAACTCTCAATAACTTCAATAGAAATTGGTCTTTTTTTAAAAGGGTATCTGCGCATAATGATTTTTATTTATTTATTTTCACATTACAAACACAGCTAATAATGCCAACACGTTTGTATGTCAAATATATGATAAAAAATGGTTGCCTGTAAAGTCGGTTTTACGGGCGAAGATTTTACGTGACAACGTCTTTTTCTCGGTAGAATATTTATTGATATGAATATAATTAAATTGCACAATAGGAACAAGGAATTGAATGAAAATAAGAATTGCACAAATTTTAACTATAGAAATATATTTTGTTTACTAAAACATTGTACATGTAAACTTAAACTTAACACGAGAGACTCATCGTAACGTTACCGAGCGTTACACTTTTTCATAAGTGACTCCCAGCCGCAACCTAATTTAAGACGTTGTCACGTCAAAAAAAACAACAAAGTCAATATTCTAAATAAATATATAACAAAAAAATAACACCACAGCATAAAATAATATCAATAATCTTCTTTTTTTATTAAATTATAATCTGTGTTAAATTATAATTAATTTATTTAACGCAGATTATAATTTAATGAGATAGAGTTTTGTTATAATCAAGGTTTTGCCGATCAGGTTTATTTTTTATGATTTCCGTAGCTTATTATAATTAATTTAAAGATGCGCATTTACCTTAATATATTATCTGTGTTGCCATTAATTTAAATGTTTAAACAATTTGTTTATGTGGTGCACGTGGATAATAAATTCCATTTATATTTTAAGTGAAATCGGCTTATTAATCTACACATAAATGCATAAAAATACTTGAGGTAAAAAATTGGGCAAAGTTGTATTGAAAAAAAAGAAAGGATCCTTTAGCAAAATGTCAACTTTTCCACAAAAGGATGATTTACTTTAATAATTTATATCTGGCATGTTTCCCTAAACTGAAAAGTCTAGAGGGGTGTCTGTCCTCTTTTTATTATCTATAGAGAATGGTAAGGATATACTATTGTCAAGTGTAGTTACAAGTTTAAAGAAATATTGCCAAATGTTGTCTATATTTAAAAAAGCTAGAGAGTTTTTACTTACGGAAAACGCTGAAAAACAAGTAATAACAAGTCTGTTTACGCAAGCTTTACTGACACGCGGACTAAAATGAATTCGCGCGAAAGCTTCGCATGCCCTCAGATTTCGTAAATAACATATTTTTAAATTTCAAATTTGCCCACACCTCGGCGTGTGACGTCAATAGTGTCACATTATACTGGTGCAGACTTAAGTTTACATAGCGAAGGTTAAACGTTACCGTCTTTAATAAAACAATATTGTAATACGAATTGTAATTTTCAATTGTGAAAGCTTCCATCGAACTTTTGGAGATACGCACTGAATATAACAAAGAACTAAAAGAAATAATTTTGTTCTAATTATGCAATACTATTTTTTTAGCAACAATTTCAGAAACGTAAACAAAACAATATTGTAATTTAAAGTAAATGGGAAATGTGTTTTTTAAAATCAACTAAGTAGTCTCAACTTACATAAAGTTTGTTTCGTAGGTACGAACTTTATTTATTTAATAAAAAATCATTATTCTGACGATGCAGACCTGAAATGGCTGCGAAACGTCAATAAATAAATAAAATTCGTGCATTAACCCGTTAAAACTAGTTTTATTTACATAAAGTTACTGAAATCATTCTAAGGGGTCTTGGATATACATGATAGTGTGGTAATAAGCTACGTACACTCGGAGCTAAACAGACATTGCCTACCTTATTTATCAAACCGTTTAGTTTAATTTTGATACGTTATTAAATTTTTAGTTCTTTGCAAGCCACTGCGAAAAACTGACCGTGTAACCAAAATATTACCGTACCGTGTTGTTATGCAGCACTTCACTTGGCTATTCGTTGACAAAAGCTCGACCTTATCATGCTTTATAAGCAATGAAAAGGACAGACTTATGTCAAGTTTACAAATAGCAAATATAGTGGTAACTTTTTGATATATGTGTTGCCAATTAGATCTCGACAGCGGTGAATTATATTGTTTTCTACCTAAATACAAATATAAAGAAATTTTTTCTAGAAAAAAATACCACGCGGACCAGGCAGCAGACGGGACTCGAACTTGCACCCTCTGCTATCCGGACGGATGCACTAACCACTATGCTTTCGCGGTCGATATGGTCAGTGCATCCACTCGGAAAGCGGAGGATGCGGATTCGACTCCCGACTGCTGCCTGGTCCAGGCGGAATTTGTCTAGTAAAATTTTCTTTAGATTCAAGCATCTAGTGGATAAATGTTTTAAAAATAAAATTATGACTAAACACGAATATTACCCAAAATAGCTGTAAAATAAGAATGAAATTTAAATACCTGCACGCCAGTCCAGCAGTGTGTATAGCGCGCAGGGCTGCCGTGAGCTGAACAAGCAAACTCCATAGCACAGCTTCTGGAAGTAGTGCTCCGCAAGCCACGGCACGCAGCATTGCGTTTTTCTACCGACAAAACAAACCATAAGCCAGCATTTAGAGGCTCAAGCACAAAAGCTTCATAAAAGCTAAGCACACTATTATTACTGTGAGCTATCTATTTATCTAACATTATCAATAAGTTACTATTTAGTCGCCAAAGTTTCGCTGAAAACCAAGAAGCGCCCGAAAATATCGGACGTAAGAAAAAGAATAAATTCGCTTTTTCCATATAAAATTTTACGATGACGCTACGTTACGGAGCTGTCAAAAACTCGTGCTTGGGTCTCAGATTAGGAGAGCTAAATAGCAACTTATTGATAATATTAGATAAATAGATAACTCACACTAATAATAGTGTGCTTAGCTTTTATGAAGAAACTAGTAACTGGTTCCAAGAATCTACCCAAAAAATTGTTATCTTCTTAAAAAAAGGCAACACCCTACCCAAGGCAGGGTACATATTTAGTAATGCCTATGTATGTTATATGCCATATGAATATTAAGAAACGCATATAATAAATACATACTATTATAAATGATACAAATACATCATCAAACACTAAACACTTCGAATCAAATCCAATAGTCCAGTCAATGAAGGTTTTCACCTCCGATTTCGTTGATTCTCCATCGATTTTCATGAAAATTGGTGAGTAGGTCGGGGATACCTTAAGAAACAAAAATGACATAGTGCCAACTTGCGCTTTTGCCCTGGGGGTAGATTATTCCACCCCTTCCCGAGGGTGAAAATTATTTTAATGAAACATGTATTTATATCACGAAATATCACATCTCATCAAAATCTTTGATCTTTAATAACTCAGAAAGTATTGATTTATTCCACAAATCTTATATAACACATTTCACTTAGAATTTGTCTTTCTATCGATTTCTGGAGTTGTTTTTATTAAAATAATTTTCACCCCCGGGAAGGGGTGGCATCCACCCCCAGGGTAAAAGCGCAAGTTGGCACTATGTCACTTTTGTTTCTTAAGGTATCCCCCACCTACTTACCAATGTTCATGAATTCGATGGAGGTTCAACGAAATCGGAAGTTGTAGCTGATTTTTGCCTTCATTGACTGGACTACAAGTCCTTTGGAGTGAATGGTCGTGTGGCCGCCAGAGTCGTCATTAAACGGCTCACGCCTCAGTAAAATTAATTCATCGTTGGTGTCGATTGTGGCAAGCTAAGCTAGCTAAGTATAGTATAAATACTGTGCTTAGTAATAGTTATAAGTAAATGACTAAGTATTTATAATTTCTATGAAAAAAGGCTCAGGAACTTTTGATAAAGTCACAATCTTGAAAATTATGAGAACTCCTACGTTATGTCATTACCTTACTAATGTTAATAAAAGATGTTGCCAATTATTTACGGATTGATCAATTTGCATTTTCTTAGAATCTTTCTACCCATTTCTCTGATTAACTCTTCACAAAAAGTTTTTTAAAGCAAAAATAAATACAAATAATTTGCTATCGTCGGCCTGACAGGAAATCTGTGAAGTTTTATTTTGTCCATTTACAAAAATTAAAGGATTAATTATCATACAGCCAGACCCGTCTTTCCCAGTGGGCACTTTGGGCAAGTGCCCAGGGCCCCGCGATCGATAGGGTGCCCCCTCAGATCAATATAAAGTCCCTAGTTCCTGTTGAATCACCAAACGGAAGTCATAGGAGCCCCATTATCCTAATATGCCCAGGGCCTCCAATAGGTCAAAGACGGCACTGCATACAGCCTTGTCTCAAGCCTATTCAGAATAATAAAATCTATTATTTTAGGCCTTCCGTGATTTGTTGTAACAAAAATTAGGGCCAAATATGTAAGGAGTTTAGAAATAATATTGTTTATTTCGATATACTTACACAGATATTTTTTGTGTACATTTATTGTCACAGTTATCTATAGGAGATACAGGAATTTCGTTAATAATCTTTTGAAAAATTGAAAGCAAATTATGAAAAAAATGAACTACTCAAAGCAGGCAAGGATAGCAAACGCCTTTGGAGACATATTAAAAATTTTACCTACATTTCAAAAAGGCACGAATCGTGTTCGAGTTTACTATTAACCCATCCTTCACCGCTTATATCAGCCAATTATGTTAATAACTATTTTATTAATATGGGAAAAGACCTTGCAGAACGCAAGCAGCCTCTAAATCTATTTTCTCAGTCACTTAACGCTACCACTAGTAGGAATAGTTTTGTTATGTTAGATACCGACCAACAAGAAATTTTACAAATAATTACAAATTTGAAAGATGACAGTGCAGTCGGCTTTGATAACATTAGCAATAAAATCCTCAAAACTAAGCATATTTTAATACCACCGTTAACACGCATTTTTCAAATCTGCCTTTAGCAGGGTATTTTTCCACAATGTTTAAAAAAGCAGTAGTTACTTCTGTCTATAAATCTGGATGTAAAGATCAAGTAAATAACTATAGACCAGTTCTATTCAGTTATATCAGTTCCTCCATCCTTATCAAAACTATTAAAAAAAATATTAAAAAAAGGCTTATTGACTACCTGGAAAAAAATAACTATTTGTCACCTGGGCAATTTGGTTTTCGGGCAAAGTTGTCAACAGCAGATGCGGTGCATAATCTGACTAACTATGTTACTCAGGAACTAGGCAAAGGAAAGCATACTTTAGCTGTTTTTCTTGATTTAACAAAAGCGTTCGAAACCGTTTCAATTCCGAAGCTTCTAAAAAAGTTGGAAGCATTGGGTATTAGAGGAACGCAGTTAAAACTGTTTGCAGATTATTTAGACAATCGATCTCAATGCGTTAAAATAGGAAATATTAAGTGATTACCAGAAAATGACCTGCTATGGTATTCCCCAGGGAAGTATAATCGGCCCTACCCTTTTTCTCGTTTTCATCAATGATTTATGTAACCTTAATTTAAAATGTGGTAAAATTACATCTTACGCCGATGATACGGCCCTGATTTTTAGAGCCAATAGTAGGTCAGAATTATATGAGGTAGCTCAACTTGGTCTTAATGGTGTAAATAACTGGCTTCGCTGCAATTTACTAACACTGAATACTGACAAAACCAATAGGCTAGTTTACTCATGTCGAATTGTATTAAATAAATGTTTATTTCTTAAAGTATTTAGTCTAAGGAACCTTAATATATCGATTTCACTTCATAAAAGCAGAAGATTGCTGTAGAAATTTAATTTAAAAAAATATTTTTTAGTCTATATTTTTTAAACACTAAAAACGCTGTTCGCCACATCCGCCATGATTTTGACGTCTCTTTTGGTAAACAACTATATGTCATTCGCGTGTTACTGTAGGTGGATTCTTTCGTCTGACTAAATTTATCTTAAAACACTTTTAACTTTAGGAAAGAAAAAACAGTAAACTTAGTTTTTTTTGACAAAACTAATTATGGATGCGGGCTTTGTGAAAGCAGAAAACACAAATCTTCCAAGAATTGACGCATTGATGGTTGGTGAGTTTGTTGCACTAAACCCCGATTTCTGCTCTGCGGAGCAGAGAAACGACATGGCATCTATGTAAGTACAGTGCATTTAGTATTACAATGTAGTAATAAACATAAAACTGATACAACATATGAATAAGTGTAATAAATAATAAATAGTTTCGGCACTTTCACAACTTTCCTGAAGTCTTCAAGGATGTGTTTTTATGTTCTCGTACAATACAGTAATGATAATTATTTTATATTTCGTGGTATTTATTAGAAATCATGTTTTTTTTTTTATTATAAACTCAGTTAAAAGTAATTTTCTACGTGTTTACGAGTTTTTTTTACCACAGTTCACGTCATAGCATAGATAATCTATAGACTAAAATCGCCGACAGCGTTTTTGTATGTCCATGAAAAGTCTATTTTAAAATTAAAGATTTGTAGCTTTTTAGGTTTAAAAAAAATACAATACATTTTTTTTCGGTCTAATAGAACATTTATTAACCATTTAAAACCTTTTTCCAAAAAGGGTCAACTAGCCTATTATATTGACTTTTCTATGCGCCAGCCTTGTCATGGGTTTACAAATCCTAACTTATACGCACACCAATGCCAATATTCTTCAGTCAATAAATGCGATTGCCCTTTAATACAGAACACATCCCATATAAAATATCTTGGTATTTTAATTAACGACACATTATCTTTTAGACAGCATATTGCAAATCTAGTAGTCAGGATCCGTAAATTAAAGTATATTTTTAAAAAATTACGTACCATTGCAGGTCCAAAACTAATTAAACAGGTATATCAGGCCTTATGCCAATCAGTAATTCAATATTGTTTAACTTCATGGGGTGGAGCTCTCAAAACTATTTTAATCCCTCTCGAGCGAGCTCAGAGAGCCATTTTAAAAGTAGCCAATTCACTTCCCTTCTTATATCCTACGCATCAACTTTACAAATACTGTAATGTGTTAACTGTTCGCCAGCTTTTCATTATGCACACCATATTAAAACAACACAGCATTTCACCTTTTTGCTCTGATATCACTAAAAAAAGACGGAAAGATATAGTCTGCATCTCTACACATGATTCAAAATACATCTTTTCACATAGATTCTCTACTTTCCTAAGTCCTTCTTATATAATAAGTTAAATAGAGTGTTAGGTATTTATACATTAAACTATTTTAACTGTAGAACTGTAGTATTTAATTATTTGCACAGCCTGACATACGAGCAGACCGAAGAATTATGTAAATAAATGAACGTAACTCCATAATTTACATTTACCAACATTTATACAATGATTACTTTAAGTTCTGTTTTTAATTAATTTGTTAATTTATTAATCATTCAATGTATTATTTAGATCATAAAAGCCTGAAATACAGGTACAATTTTAACTGTAACCTTGTTCAGGCATCCATTTTTTTGTACTTTATATTGTTATTAGTATTATTATGCAATGTATGACCTTATTTGAATAAAGATATATTTATTATTATTATTTCCTTTATTTCATTAAATATACATACAAAATTATATTTCTAAATATTATTTTTTTACAGTG